ATTCATGGCAGATAAATGCCAAGCACCAATTTGTATGGAATCAAAATAGACACTGAAGAAAACTGCATTAAAACTACATTTGAAGCTGTTTTAAAAGTAATGGCAAGTCTCTTCTGTCAAGCTCATCATATCAGATTTCTAAACTATGTAACAGAGTAGCGCCTCTAGTGCTTACCTTATTGTTTCTGTCTGTACAGGTGATGAGATCTTGGAGCTGAATGGAGAGTCACTGCACGGTCTGACTCATGATGAGGCCTTGCACAAGTTCAAAGTAAGACAACTGCACTATGATCCTAATAGCAGTATTTGTCTTAGGTCAGAGTGTGTTTGTTTTTTTCCATAATCAAAGCGGGAATGATAACACAACTGCACATCTAAAATTGAAAAACAAAACAAAACAATGCAAGCTTGACTACACTAACTTACTGGCAGAAGAAAAAGAACCATACAACATTGTAATGTAAGAAGCTTAAGTCCCAGAGAAATGAATTAGGATTTTAACACTTACAAAACCCTAAAATCCAGTATCTTCCCAACTGTAGGTATAAATGATAAACCTGTTACGGTTCCGCGTAGCTCGACTTCCCATATTTACGTTTCTGTTTACCTGTTCTCTCCCCACTCCTCTGTCACCACTATTAGTCATTATTCCACTCACCTGTGCTCATTATTCCCCGGTCCTGTTCCCCGCTGTTCTGCCACGACAATCAGTCTCCATGCCGTTCACCTGCTGTTCATTATTGCCCCGTCTGGTCCTGTATTTATACACCTGTTTTCTGTTCACTTGCGGCTGGTTCATACTCTCAGTATGTGTGCATGTCCCGCGATTACCTGGCTTCGACTTCGTTTCTGTTTTGTTTCCAAAATTTGTCAGCCCCGTTTACTCTCCACTCAGTCAGTCTGTATTCTTCGCCATGTATTGTTTTTCTGTCCTTTCATATGCAAGTCTTTAGCTCAGGGCTTTTTGTTTCGTTTCTCGTGGCTAGAGTGTGATACCGACTAAATTAATTCAGACAAACCATTACAATTTAAAGGATCATTTAATATTACAACTATTCTGAATAGAGTAGTATTTAAACACATAATCTTGTAGTTAGGGAACAGAGAACAGAGATCAGAGAACAGAGACTCTCCTCTTGCAATGGAATAGATAAAGCATAAGAAGATTGTCAGAAGCACCAGTCAGTCAGGTCATTGGTTGTCAGTCCCGTGTCGGTTCCCCTGTCAGCCCCAGTCAGTCGTCGTCTCCCCCCGGCCCTCCGTGGCCGGGCTTGTGGTACACTGTTCACGGTAGCATGGTCATCCTCTCTCTTCCAGGCTCACCCCTCTTATCAGCTCGGCAACTGACTATATAGCTATTTCCCAATTGGGTCAAGCTTCTTGACAGGAAGCTTGACCCAATGTTCCTGCAGAGGCCTTCACAAAAGAACAGAGAGTTCATCTCTGACCATACTTGGGATTCTACTAGGATTCTTAGAACTATGCTAATAAGTATTAACTATATTAAGTTTGCTTTTACCACTCTGAGATGTACTTCAAAAACAGGAAACATCTTGACCACTTACATAAGCCCATTGTCCAACTCACATGAACTTAATGAACCCATAACCACTCAGCTCTCCCTCACACAAGCTAATAACAAATAATGTCTATATGAGCTACATACTGTTCCATTACATATTCTGGAATCTGGTTTATTGCTAACCACTACACGTTTACCTGCTAGCGCTGCTCAATCTGTTAGCCCTGTTCTGACTACCAGCGCTGCTCCAACCGCTAGCGCTACCCTGACTACTAAGCGCTACCCTGACTACTAGCGCTTCAGATCCCAGCTTACCTGATGTCCTGCTGTCGCCCTCCTGGTCCTCTCTGGTCTCCTGCTCGTCCCTCCTGGTCCTCTTTGATCTCCTGGTCCTCTCCTCGTGGTTCCTCCCTGGTCTCGCCTGTCCTTGGTTGCTCCCTGCCTGTCTTCTGGCCATCCAGCATTATTTGTGTTTTGTTTAATAAACTGCTTTCTTCAGTTCCTCTCCTCTAGTCTGTGTCTGCAACTGGGGTCCACACCACGTTCACACGCAACAAAACCCTTACCTTAGAGATAAAAAAAAAAACTGTGGCTATTATATGGGGCACCATTTAAAGTAGGTGGTACCATAGCTGTCGTGCCTCATATAAGACCAATACATTTATTTGGTACCAGTGAATGTGTTCAGATCATTCTCATAAATCAGTCTCATTAATTATTAATCATAAATTTGGAATCTTAATATTTAAAATTACAAAATAAATGGAGTTCCCTTCATAGCAACGGTCAGCATCCAATAATATTAAAGCAACGCTCACCAATTCTTAAGATTTCACACGGCTTATTATACACTTAATCATTAACTGTACAGCAAATACTAAGCCCACAACAAACCAAGGCATAAAACACTGAAAATGTTACTAAATGGGTGATCTACAGTATGTACAAGTGTCTGTGATATGTACAGTGGGTATAGAAAAGAATCACCCCCTTTAAAATAATCACATTTTGTTGCTTTACAGAATGAAATGAAGACAGTTTTGTTTTATCCAGCTGTATTTACTCAGTGCAAGTTATAACATCCAAGTGAAAGATATGACACCAACATGTCAGAAAATCATTTAAAGAAATTTCAAAAACAGAATCATTGTGTGTGTGTGTACAATGTTCTTCTGTAAGACAAGTAAAAAGATGAAAAAAGAATGTGCAAACAAGAACAAGGAATGTGCATTAGGGAAATAAAAATAAAGTACTTAAATATCAAAAATATGTAAATATATATAAAAAATTCCCCACTCGCCCCCCCACTTTGGGGCGGTCTTGTATTCCTTCCTTCAAGCTCGGGTCCTCTACCAGAGGCCTGGGAGCTTGAGGGTCCTGCGCAGTATCTTAGCTGTTCCTAGGACTGCACTCTTCTGGACAGAGATCTCAGATGTTGTTCCTGGGATCTGTTGGAGCCACTCTCCCAGTTTGGGGGTCACAGCCCC